AAAGCAGATTAGTCTTTGCACACTTTTCAGTTGTTCTAACAAAGGTCTGTTATGATCACAGAGAAGAGAAGGGAAGAAAGATAGGATGAGCTTTATCTCCAGTGCAACTTGCATAATGCTTTTGCAAAAGAAAAGCTAGAAAACTAAGAAATGAAATAAAAAGCGGTTCTTCTGACATGACAGAAAGCAAAAGTGAAAGATGCGTTGTGTCAGTTCAGTTTGGTCTTTTGCATAACTTCTAGAACTTCTGGGGCAAGATTCTCATGTGGGATAAAGCAATGTGACTCCACTGGCTGTAGTGTAAACTTACCAGTTTATGAATGCTGAGGACCCAGTCTCATTCTGTTTGCCACAATGAAACTTTTCTAAGGAATTGAGAATGCAAATACGGAAAAAGATGTTTCTATGGTGGGTACAAGCATAGGATTCAAAAGACCTGAGATAAGATTCAGCATTAACACAGGGTTCCTACATGAACTTGCATACGACTTCTCTGGGCGCAGTTCCTCACAGATAAAACAGTGATCTCTAAGCGATGCTGTAAGGATATGTGTTCTAAAGAGTGAGGCACTGGGGCGATATGAATATTTGATAGCGACTCCAGGAAATGATGGAGAACACTAAACATTGTCAAGATGGTGAGCAGTGTTGTTAAGTGGATGTGTACAAGCCATCCCTTACACACGGATGTGCCATCTTGATATTCTTTGTTTACTGAAAAGAAGAGGAGCACTGGATGCAGGTAGCTTATCCTCCAGGAAGCCAGCAATGAAAAACAAGCAGCTTATCTAGTCGTGCAAACACTCCTGCTTCCCTTCCCTTCAGCAGCAGAGAGCACGATAAAAGCTGAGACGAGTCTCTGTAGGAACCCAAAGCTGTGAATCTTCCTCTCACCCTGTCTGGCCAAAATCCCTTCATTTGCAGGGGGAATTTAGGCCAGAGATCACTAGTTCTAGCTCTCCGCCAGAATAACAGAGGACAGGGTTAGAAAGGAGGAAAAACAGCCATAACTCAGCAAGTACAGCAAGAAAGAGAGGAGCAGGAGATGCAGATAATATGTAGTCCTCTGCTATGTTTCCAGCTATATCCCCACCCTGCTGACCCTTTCAAATTTCCCCCACCATGACATTGGGTAGTATTTTTTTGTCACTCATAAACAAGGATACCGTTTGCCATTTAGAAGAAGAAAGGAGCCTGGGATAGGAATAGATTTCTGCTGCTTTGGGGGGTTGCAAACTCATTCTGTCCCATATTGGGTTACAAGTCAGTATTCCAGCCTTAGGAATAAGACATTGACAGATACCTTAGGGTTCCCTGATGCAGCCTCATTGAGGGACACCCCCAAGACACAGACAAGCCAGTACGGCACTGCTCCACAGCTTGCTGGCACTAGCAAGACCTGGGATAGAAAGGAGCAAGTTCTCCATCACAAATATGAAAGAATTAGAGAATGGAGAAAATCAGAAGTGAAAACAAAAAAGAGGCAGCTGAAGTTTGAGGTGGTTAAAATAAAAAATGGGACTGTGCCATTCACAGGTGGATAGATAGATCTATCAATCGATCTCGTCTACACTGACACACTTTGGAGCTATAATTCACTGCTGGGGCAATTATTCCAGCATAGCAGTGGCAGGAGTTATATCGGAGCCAGAATTCAGGCGCTTTTAGTCAGAGGAGAGCTGGACAACAAAGGAGTAAAAATTGGTAAATGACAGTGAAGATACATGAGATATAAGTTATGTCTGTGCAGTTGCAGAGCGTAGAGTGAAAGACAGATAGATAAATAGACACATAAAAGTCTGAATTTTGGTTGTGCAATCATTTGCTGTCTGTCCTTATCCTCGCCTCCTCTCCTCTACTCTTGGAGAGACGAGCGTTTAGCATTATTGTGTCCCAGTGTCTTTGCCATGTTACTGTTAACTTCTTTATCCTCTTGCACTGAGTAAGTGATGCTGCTTCTGGAAGGTGCAAGGAATTTTTCTTCATAAGCCCTGATGTGTTCAAGAGAGGGCTGGGCTCATCTCCACTGTGAGTCTGACAGGGGCTTTAACAGCCTCACAACACTGGGACAAATAGCTCCTGGTCCCTTAACCCTTCTCAGCTTTGCAAGGCAAGGCCTAGCACCGTTGTTGCCATTGCGAGGGCTTTAGAAAGTCTTTCAGGCTGAAATCCTCTCCGTGGTGGCTGGGCAGAGCGGAAATCCAGGGGCTGGATCAGATTGGCCTAATGCTACAGAAGCTTAAGCGGTCTGTTTTACCAGAGATTATGGTTTCACTTACACAGAGCGCCTGAAAAATGCTGCGGTTTAGGAAGGATTATAGCTGAAAATTCCATGCTTTAAAAGAGAAATAAAGCAGGGGAGGGACTAGGAAACCCAACGTGCCTGGGGGCTGTGCAAACAGGATTAACCTCTGCGCATAGCACCTCTTGCTTCTGCCCACCCATGCTTCCCATGTCCATCTTCTTCTCTGCCCTCTCCTCCCCAGCGGCCCCCACACCTGCTCTCCCTTGCATAGTGTGGGGAGCTGAAAAAGGAGCCTGAAAAATTCCCAGGACCAAAGTGTCCCTAGCTTATTTAGGTATGACTGTCAAATAGCTTCCTTGAAAAATATCACTTCACTTGCAGCCCGTGAAAGCCAGGGGAACTTTTGGCCCTCTGCTTGCAGATAGATCTATTCATCCAAATTATCTAGTATCAACATTATTTGGGTAAAGGCTTCAGCACTCCCAGAGTGCTGGTACTGACTCTGCCTGTCTGGCCTGAAAGTAAATCTGTGCACTCCTTGCCATCTGATGACAGAGGATGCAAGAGAAAAATAGCTTTGAGGGTTCTCCATCTACAGAGACTAGCATTGGCATGTGAGGGCTCACTGGTAGGACTGTAGGATAGTAGATAGTTGTAAAAAGCAGAAGCTGGGCACTGATGTACTGCCTACTCTAGTGAGTTTAATTAAGTGTGCGACAAGAACCAGACACTCCCACTTCCATTCCCCATATCCTCCACAAAAGATCCTTGCTAGAGCTTCCTATGGCAAAAAGGGGGAAGAATCCTCACTTAGCATACCAGAGACTTCACATAAGTAATCTAAATAAAGAGGAACTGTATGCCTTTTGGCCAGGACTGATCCTTCCCAATCAACTGAACCGTGAACATATGTCTTTGCTGTAAAGAAGTCTCAGTGATTCCTTTGCTGGCCAGCCAGGTTAGAGGTACTTGGAGGAGAACACAGATGGCAAACTATCATTTTTGCCAGGTAACAAACCTTTAGGAAACAAATGCCTCTGGATAAACAGCATTCACAGATAGAAACTGCCCAGCCCTTTATTGTCTAGGTGAGCATTTCAGTCTCACAATAAGGTGCCTAGAGTTAATAAAGCCAGTTCTACATTAATGAGGTCAGATTTATGACCTAATTATATGTCACATTTATATTTTTCTGTATAAATCAAAACCACCAGAACTAACTTATTTCATAGGCCATTGGCAACACTTGCCATCACGGCAGAAACATGGCTTTCATTTATTGGCTTTAATTTGTTTACCTGAGGGTGGATGGTTTGCTAGATGATTTGGATCGGATCTGATTACATCATCCATACTTCTCTTTCAGGTGTTCAAATACAAGACTCTCTTACTGCTGACCCATCAACAATGGGTGTTCTGGAGTACCCATGCTTTAGGTCACAGAGTTCTCCAATTCCCAAACCTCTTACTTGGCAGCCAAGTTAGGAGCAGTTGCAAAACTGTATCTATTGTGCCTATGCAAATCTGCACATCAGAAACCAAGGTCCAATGCAAACAACAATGAAAATGAGACCTTTTATAAGTCCCCCACATTTTCTCTCCTACATTGTATCTCTCTGTCAAGGTATCTGTCTGGCAACACTATACTCCGGGAACAACCAGTCAGCACTGACTGCTTTTATGGTTAAAGCTCCAAAGTGTGCCACTGTGAGCAAGACAAAATGATTGATCTGTCTATCCACCTATTAATTGTATAGTCTCATTTTTATTTTAACCACCTCAAACTTCAGCTACATCGTTTTTGTCAAAACTTTTACAGACTTTGGCTTGAAAAGCTTTGGCCGTTACATTGAGCATCCTGTTTAAAGATGCTGATAACCATGCTGCTCTGCTGGGGAAGGCTATCTTGGGTTTGAAGAGACAAAGTGGTATAATTCCCTGGGCCAGACTGTGTAAATGTAGCATCTTCATGCGCCCTTGGCCAGCAAGAGAAAGCAGCAGGAAAGGGAGCACAGAAGCTTCAGAGCATTCTTCTCCTTCCCAACCCTATGCTTCTTCCTGTCCTCCCTCTCCTGCATGTTTCCTCCCTCACCTCTCCTTTTCCTGCATCCCATTCCTCCCATCTGCCACTGCACTCCATTCTCCTCATCTCCTGCTGCCCCTGCAGAGGCATCCCTGCAGTCAGAGCCTAGCCCCCGGGTATATTTACTGCTGTTGTCTCAGCACTGGCTCCTCTGATCTACTCCTAACCTTTTTATTTTTATTTTTTGTTTTTTAAATTAATTTCCCTGTAGATTTTAACCACTCCATTTTCATTTACCCATTTTGTTCTTCCTTTCCTCCCTTCCCCACCCTCCTCTTCCTCCCCCTGTTCCCTTTGTCTGTCTGTGTCCATCCCTTACCCTACCACAGAAAACCTCTCCTCTCCCCTCAGTATAAAGCAAGAGCCTCATGGAGCCTCTCTCACCCCTTTCACCCCCACCACGCCGGTCGGCTCTGGGCAGGCTGATCTTCAGCCCTTCCACATGGCCCTTTCAGACGATGCGTCCACGCCTTGCTACAGTGCCTTCCTTCATCATGGTGCCCACTTTGGGCAGTCCAGCAGCCAGCCTCTGATAGCAGGTAACTGGCCTTGGCCACAAACTCAGTGGGGATGCTGCAGGCAAGGGGTTCAGTTTCGTCTGATGGGGAGACCAGTAAATGCTGCAAGCTCTTTGAGTGCAAGTGGGAACCAGAGCAACCATGTTCCAATTCTGTGTATGCAGCATGTGTTCTGAGCTCCATGGAGAGTCACAAAAAGATTTCATGCCAGTCCTTCATTTTTTAGAATAAAATGGGAAAAGAAGCTCTAACTACCTAGAAGTGACTGGGTGTCCCAGTTGGATGGGTCTGGGACTTAGTATAGAAACACTCGTACAGCAAAATCCTGTGTTGCCTCAATAGCCATAAAGCCCCTGAGTACTGCAGGCCCAGCAAGGGTACTGTGTGGTAGCCCAAGGTAGCTGATAGCAGCCTGAGTAACCTCACCAGCTCTAGGACTGATGGGGTCATTCAGCATGGGTTGTACAAACTACGAAGTCAGACAAATACATAGACGGTTGGTGAGCACTGCCATAGCTATGTTGTGAGCAATGCCTGAGTCACTTGGGTTGGGAGTGTCAATGTGAGCTGGTGCCTTCACACAACAGATCAAGTTGTTAAGAAGCAGGGCATCACGTCTGAATGTCAAGACCAGGAAGGGTGAGTGAGAGATTATAATGTCTTACAGCCAAAGGAATACAGACTTGAGTAGGTGGCCTTTAAGGGAAGGACAGAAATGGAGAAATAGGTTGCAGAAGATGTCAGCACTTAGGAGCAGCAGGCTGGAGGGGAGGGAGAAGTTTCAGGTAGGTATGAGGGGAAACTCCTGTGCAAGGTGACTGAAGCAACATTGCTGCAGAAGCTCAGAAGTAGCTTGGATGAAATAGTGGGTATCATTTTGGGTGACCACTGAGGCTGTTGTCACTCACTGTCAAAGAACGTAATTGGGGCTTTTTCAGAAAAGACAAAGTCTTAGTGCAGACCACAGTTCAAAATGCTCAAGAAACACATCTCATCTCTGTCTGCCTCCTTCATATTCCTATATTATTTTTCTCCTTTGACCTAACATCCTCCCTCTGTCTTGTCGGGTGAGATTTGCATTTCTAAACCTCCCTGTAGGAAAGCAACAAGTAACAGCAGAGAAGACTTGTGTTCATAACACTGCCTTGGTCCAATCTTACTGCAGCCAGTAAGAGCCTCTGAGCTCTGGGCATTTCCTAAGCCAAGGAGTCTCCTAACAGACTTTCTCCAACGATATAGTTCTCTGGGGATGCAGTCATATGTGACAACGCTGTTGCCTAGAAGGCACTGTGTTTCAGGAGAGGCACCTGCCTTAGGACCCTTATGGAGAATTAGACATGGGAAAAAGTGTTCGAAAGCTCAAACAACATCACAGTGATGAAGGTGGTGTTCCTCACTCAGAAGGCTCTTGTAGAAGGGAGAATGGCTGGAGTTGGAAGCATGTTATATGTGCAGGACAGGTGCTAGCTTTGCCATAGCCCTGGAGTACAAGAATTTAATAATCCCTAACTACCCGTTGGTAATGGAGGAGGTAATGGAAGGGGCCTGCCTGTATGTAACAGCATTTTAAGAGTTTCTCTGTGGGACTCTTATTCATGTTGCTGATACTGTACTTGTTTGTTATCGTCTTTTTCAAGATTAGGATTTTGACAGATGATCACTTCCCAGCGAATCTTCCACACCGAGTTTTGAACATCAGCCTCTGTCTGAATAAAAACACAGGGGCATATGTGCATAGATCGAGTAGCAGAGCAAGTGTGTATGTGTTCCCACCTGAACGGAAGTGTCAAAACGAATTAATTTTGCCTGCTGCTACATAATGTTCTCTCTAACTTTTCAGTAACACTTTTTTCTCACTCATCACCTGTTGTTATTTCTCAGGCTAGTCAATAAGTGAACCAAAATAACATGAATTTTAAGCATAAAACTTTCTTGCCTTAAAAGAATGTGAGGGAAAAAAAAGAACTACATCTAGTAGGTATTAATCATACATCTTAACACAGCTACAAATCACTAAAGGAATGGGTGATAAAAGAGCAGAAGAGTGCAGAATATAAATTCTTGAGGCATTATATATTTATTTTTATCAATATTGGGGAGTGGCTGGAAAATCGCTCAGCCATTGTCTGGTAGTTCTGTGCCTCCAAGAGGAGGTGATCTAGGAACAGTAGCCACTGATCAGAAACCTCTTCAGGGAGAAAGAATGAAGTTGTGTTTCTTTTTGCTTGAGCAAATCACCTCAGTAATCTTTAGTCAAGACCTATGAAAGCAATGACACTGGTTTAACCCACCTCATCCCAGAGGAACTCCCTCCCTTCAGGTTAATGCTCCATGTTGATGAGTTTTTGCTTTGCTGTGTAACTGTTACTTATTTCTGACTCCCCAGCCAAGGTTCATGCTTGTTCCAGGGCCTGCTGTATCAGTTATAATTCTACCACTAGTAGAGCTAAAACAACTCTTATTCTTCTTTCATTGGCATATCCCAGCACAGTTTCAGTGACTCCAGTGGTGTTAATGGGCCATACTTAACCTGTCACTTCCAAACGCGAATCAGACTCCAGCTCTCCAGTTAGAACAGACAGGAGAGACAAAATTTAACAAAGGAACAACAAATGGCACAAACTTGTTGGTGAGCTACAGTTCACCTAAGGAATGTGAAAGGCTTTGGATGCCTGGAACAGGCTGAGATCTCAGTAGGCAGCATTGGAGGTTGAGCTGTAAATTTCCCAGCAGCTGTGGGGGAAAGATTATCTTAATTTATTTAGCCTTTTTTTTGTTTTGTTTTGTTTTGGCTTGAAACTCCCAGCAGCTTCTGAGATGATTTTAGTTCATCTAAATGCAATAAGCACTAACAGCAAATGCCCTTCTGGCTGGCCCATTTTCAGGCTAACCAGTCCAAATGAGGAAATGCCTCTGGCACCAACCAAGAAGCCTACAGCTGCACTTCCTAAGAGATGAAAAATAAACTACAGTCATCCAGCTGGTCCACACCCCTCTCTACTTCTTTGGTGGAGAAAAGATATCACAACTTCAAGTATTACTAACAAAAACTTGCACCTGTGATAAAAATGAAGTGGGACTCAAACTGATTTGCATTGCCCTATTATTATATATATTACAGCAGCACCTGGAAGGAGTCTGAGCAGTATTGATCTCATGCTAAGCACTGTGCAAATGTACTAAAAGTGTGCCCTTGCACCAAAGAGTTTGCAGCATAAAAAGAAACACAGAGAGGTAAAGTGATTTGCCTAAAGTCATCAGCAGGTGAATGGCAGAAGTGGGAAGAGAGACAGGCACAGAAAACTCTTGGATCACTTTCCAGTGCCTTGCACATTGAACATGCCCTAAAGTAACATCACCATAGTTTTGGAACTGCATCCAATGCATATAGACAGGAACTTAGCTACTCTGGCAGTGAATACACTGCCATTCTCTGAGCAGCTCAGGGCCATTTTGATTTAGTTAAAATAGATCCAAAATCTACAACAAGAAAAAAAGAGCCTCAGAAAGCTAAGTTTTAACATCCATCCTTACAGTGGGAGATTAAAAGTGCCACAATCTTCTCCCAAGATTTTCAGTGGGTGAACAGCACTTACATAAGAGAAGGCTGCACAGCACTTGCCTGTCAAGCTGCTAGTCACGTGACAGTGGGACAAGAGGTGATATCAAATCAATATTGAAAGATCTTATCCCTGTTGATCACCTGTCCCGATTCTTTCCCTTTCCAGGTCGTGATATGGCAAGCACCACCTTGCCTGGCTACCCACCCCATGTTCCCCCGACTGGACAAGGCAGCTACCCAACCTCAACTCTTGCAGGAATGGTTCCTGGTAAGTCAGCCTCCAGCCATCAGTCATGGTGCACACATGTTTGAACAGTATACTAGCATTGTAAGAGCTTTCACAGTTGGCTTTGCTATTGCTTTGATGATATTAAGGCCTGTTCTTTTCATAAAGAAATCATCAGGTGCCCATAATCAATGCCGATAGCTAACAATCCTTTCTGTAACATACCTCTTTCCTCCTAGTAACTGATTCACTGCTGCTATGGGCAACTAGCTATCTATAACCTGTGGCAATTAATTGGTAATTAATTAACCTTAGTATTCATTAACCAATGTAATTATTTTCCAATGACCCATGCAGATTATTATGTACTGCTTGTGGCTCAGGATATTCAACTATCCAGTAACTTAGGGTAACAACTTACCTTCTGTCTAAAGCCACGGCATCAAACTGAAAATCATCAATGGTAATTTAATACCTGCAGATTTTGGAGACCTACTGTCCATAGCCTAAACTAGCTAAGACCTCAGCAATAATTAACAGCATTTCAGGAGAAACTATTCACTACTTACCCACATCCTGTTTGTAAGATAGTGTCTCCAATCCAAGAAACTATCTACCTAATCCGACATCCAAAGGCAAACTGTTTCTTTCCTACCTAATGCCTTTGGATGGGTATTCAAATGGATCCTCCCAGTGTTTAGGGAGAAGAGAGGACCATTTACCTGAGGGCAATTGAAGAGTTTATTTCCCCAGGCTCTATTCCTCACTACTCTGATGATAGTTATTCCCAGTAGATAAATGAAGAGGCAGGATTTTTGTTTCTCAGCCATGGTAGCTCAGAACTTCAGCTGCCACTGATTTCTGTTTATGTTACCGCCCTGGGTTGTGAGTTGTGATGGCTAATGTCCAGGTGCACAGTCCATTCTGCAACCTCTACTACTGGAGGGATGACACCAGAACTGAAGCAGCAGAAAGCTGAGGACAGAAAGCTCATAAATCACTACAATATGATTTGCCAGGGCTTATGAGTGAAAAGCCTAACTTAGCCCTCATCCAAATCTCAGAACAGCTAGCTAAATGAATACGCACTGCAGCGAGGACAGTGGAAACATCACTGATAGGAAATGTTTGCAGGTCAGAGCCTTAACATCTTTAAATGACAAATCACTGCTTATGTACCATGAAGTCGTGGCTAATACCTATGGTCACATTCCAGAGCTACGTACAACTTATGATCCTAAGGCACAACAAAATCTCAGGCTATGCTGTGAAGATGATGTAATTGACCTGCAGATCAGGAAAAGATAGTGGCTTGGTTCCCTCCACATCCCTACTTTAGTCCTTTGGTATAGTAGACCAGCTGGCTGAACTTTTGGGGTCGTGCGGAGTTGGCAAATTTTAGGGCATCTCCTTCTATATTGGATTTTTCAGGGAGATGGTTTGGCTCCAGAATCAGAGCAGCACTAGGACAATATAAATAAATTAAACCCCACCACACAGTAACAGTAGGTAGACTCAGTTGTCAACATTTAAGTCAGCTATAGGTCAAAACTTATAGAAGGTCATGGCATATAGAAATTATTAATAACACCAAAATAGTTGGCTCTTTGAATAGGTACTTCTGAAAAATAGGCACTCCTCAACTTCTAACTGTTCTGTGATTGCTATGCAAGTTTAACATCCTCATCACAAGGATGATACTGACATCTAAACTGGGACAAAAATTTTAAGACCACTAATCAGAGGGGTCATTTATCCAAGCATAGGGTATTTCAGCTCCTTGATGTGGAAGCTACTTATCCATAAGACAGCAGTGTCCTCAAAAACACACAAATACACCCAAAAAGAAAAAAGAATAGGATAAGGAAAAAAGTTGAGTTATACTTTAAAAAGATTATTCAAGTCAAACAGCTATCTTTACATTAAATCTGACATCGATAGTCAATTAGAGGAAGTTTTCCGGTGGTGTACTTGGGCATCCTGCATTAGTTACTGCATCTTTCCACAGAACATCAAGTTCTGGCTGTTTCAGTCATATTCCACTGGTCAGACCCAGCCTGGCAGTCCTGCTATTCCTGTCTTCTAATGTGACTGAAGCCAACAAGCTGGAGATAAAGAGGCTTCCTGGGAAGGGACATAAGACTTGTCTTTAATGGGTCACACTGCAGATCTCTGCAGTCACCTCTCTCTGTCAGGGGCCAGAAGTGAATGCCTGGGGAAGAGTATAAGAGTAGAGCAAACACATATTGGTACTTTCTCAGATGATCTCCCAGCCTCCAAGAAGTTGCAGCTCAGAGACTTCCTAAACCAGACTTAGTATCTTTCTGTTTAATATTAAACACCCTCAATAGGTTTCCCCTCCACAAACTTAAACACTGTCTCTTGAACCCATATAAGCCTTTAACATTTGTACCAACCTACGGCAAGAAGTTCTGTAGCTTAACTACATATTGTGTGAAAACTACCTCCCTTATTTGTTCTGAACCTGCCACCTGCCAGGCTCACTTCATGCCTCATGGTTTCTGTATTAGAAGACTGAACGTGCCAAGATTTAAATACGCATACCAAGAAATACTGTTAGTAAAGGTTCCCAGAGCACAGATTGCACAGAATATAGGCCTCATGAGGTTGATCCTCTGTGTTTGCTTGCAACCTCTGCTAACAGTCCCGGTTGAACAGAGAAAACAAATATGATGTCACCAATGGTTGATTACATGCCCGCAGGCCAAGAAGGATCAGGGGCCAGTACTTTAACTACAGTGCAAACAAGAAGCAATCAAGATTACCATTCAGGGAGTATCTTTAAGAAACATACTGACATGCAAACAAGCCTTAGTGTCCAGATGTGAGTGAATATGAAAAAGAGGCTCTGTCTTTAAATAAAGGTGCAGAGCTAAAAATATAGCTGGTCAGAAAGCAGAATTTCCAACCCATGCAAAACTCTGATTTTTTGACATTTGTTTTCATCTTGCGTTAGGATGAGGAGTCAGAATCTTGAAACTGTTCAATTTGCAAACATCAGGATGAAACATTTCAATAACATCAACATGTTCTAGATGTCAAGACATATTAAAATAATAAAAGAGTTGAAAGGAAATTAAATGAGATGAGAAAGGCAAAATGAAACAAAACAAGAAAGTTGAAACATAATACTTTGTTTCAATTTGCAATCCTTTCCGAACTTTTCTTTCCAAAACTCCATTGAAGCTGACAAGCTCATGCAAAACATTTCCATTTTGATGAGACAGCATTTTCCAGTGGAAAACTGTTTCTGAGAAAATTGTTTGATCAGTGCTAACCAAAGCTGCTCTGTTCTATCCGTAACAACCTTTCACTAGACTTCTACTTGTATAATCTAGGGAAGAGCCTGTCTCCAGCAGCAGTACATCCATGCAACATGGTCAGTCATGCATGCAAGTATCTCTGAGGTTTACGTAGACGATGTGGTAAGATACGTATCCTGCATTTGCCCTTGCCTGTAACTTAAGGTCTCAGGCTGTAGACATGGGTGAAAGCCAGTAGTCCCTGAGCACGCATTTGAAAAAGCACGGGTTAGTCACAGAGAAGGGTGAATCAGGTATTGTGCTACACTTAACCTATGCGTCTGAGAGATGTTTCCTACTCAGGTGACAGAGCACTTTTGATCCCTGCCTCAATTCCTCAATTCTTCCTCTTTCCCAGAAAGGCCACCAAGTTTCTGCACTGTTTTGGTGAAGTGAGCATCCTCTGAAGGGAACCGCAGTTTGCGCAGAGCAGTGTAGAGCCTGCGGAGGGCTGGTGATGGCAACGGCAGGGAGTCGTTAAACAGAATCCAATGTTGATGAGGAAATTACACTTGTTTCATTAGCGATCAGGGAAGGCGATAGCTCAGTTCCTCTTGGTCACAGTTGAGCTCAAAAGCTCATTATCCTGCTGCATGCATGCTTTCACTCCTCGTCAATAAACACTGTTTCCAGTGGCTGCCCTCCCTCCTCCCCAGCTCTCCATAGCTGGGGCTCTTTCTCCTCTAGTTAACCCGTGCTTTAGGAACACTGTAAACACTTTAGGGTGACAACTGAGAAGAAGGTGAGAGAGAGAAGCCTTGAAACATCAGAACTTCTCTCCATGCAGAGAAGTGATGTTTACATGAGGCATTTCAAACCAGAAGTTCTCATCTGGTTAGTTTTTTTCCTTCTTTGGGAGGCAAACTCATTCCAGTATATCCCACAGGTAAGTCACTTCAGTAGACATGAATCTGGACTACGCATTCCTTTTTGCCTTCATATCCCATCCCACAGCATCTTGGTCACCTTAGCAGGTTTCACCTATTCCTTCCCAGATAGCTGTCAGGATTTTCAGTGCAGGATGTTTCTAGATATGAAAACATGCCAAGTTATTATCATTAAAACAGTATTCAGCTAGGTTTGTCACACAAAACAAGGTTTTATGCTGAAACTAAAAACTACCGTGACTAAAATACCTTTGGATGGTGATTGCTTTTGATACATACATGTTTTTGTACTGACTAGTTATTGCCCTGAGTGTCTTCAAAGAACCTGGCTGGACACATGCTCCTCAAGTTTAAACTGGTGCAAATCCCCTGGCTTCAATAGATTTCATTTCTGCCATCTGAGAATCTGCGGTTTTGCCTTTCATTCTCTGGTGAGGGGAGATTTGCAGAGATTACAGTATAATTAATTGACGTTTCTTTGGTAATTGTATCACAGGCCTCCAGCGTGTCTTGCATTGCCCTCTTTCGCTATATTCCATGGTATCTAGCAGGAACTCTAGGTGTTTTCCAAACAGTTCTGTTGTAATAACTCTACCCACACCTCAGGGCAGACCAGAAGCTAGTCGTCATGATGTTCTTTCACTGTCTTTTAAGTGCATAATGCCTTTCAGATGGTGCTGATTGTCCCCAGCTTGTTGGTACTGCATTAAATTGAGGTTATGATCAGATAAAGGCATGTTTTTACTTAACAGGGATCATGTATTTTTAAGTTTTGGGACATTTATTTATTTTGAATACAGCACCATACCTCCTCAGTTACCAAATATAATTCCCTTAGCCCCGCACAGCCTTCTATAAAACAAGGAGACACAGCTCCTTACGCACAATAAAACTGAATATTTAAGAATACTCTACAACATTCAAATCTTCGAGTCTGATTAGATCACAAAGCTCACAAGTATTTTGGTTTGGGCCCATTTTACTGATTGTGAAAAAGGGAGCTGTAGCCACCTTGTCATTCAGATTCAGAATAGCACCTAAAGCATTAATCATTAGAAGATTATTTTCTGGAATGGAATACAGCAAGTTTTCTCTGCAATTCACTAACTAAGCGTAAATGTGGGGTTCATCATATATAAATCACTTAAATCTCTTTTCTGACTAACACCATCACACAGAAAGTGTGATTCATATGTGTTCTGTTTTATTTTGTATTTAAGCCCACCCTACTCTCAGAACGTTTCCAATAATGAATGATACTCTTTTCCACAAATACGTCATTGCTTTCAGTACCCTATAAACAAAACTTAGCAGTACATATTGCCATCAACAGCACTGCTGGTTCCAATGAGTTTACTGCAAGCTTGTCCCGTTCAAGCTCCCATGCCTGCTGTCTTGACACTACTGGAGAACCTTAGATTTTATTTAAAAGAAAGCTGATAGTTAATTGCAGAAAAAGCTTGCATATGCAATCCTACTGCACCTTGAGAATCAGAAGCCAGAAGGCAATGAAAAATAAACCAGTTTGTTTATTTGTATTATTGAATTTCAGCATTTTAAACTAATTTCTTGATTCTAAAGAGGTCAATCTTACAATTTTCAATTGTATGGGTAAACAACTCTGCACTGAACAAACACTACAGTGTCCTGAAAGGCAAAGTCCCAGCTGGGCAAGGAAGCTAGATGTACAAGTTTTCCTGCTGGCACACGGATTCAACATGAACACTAGCTTGATGGAATAGCAGCCATGAATCTTCATTCTTAACTGTATTTCACACTTTCCTTGCTTTCTTTCAGGGAGCGAGTTCTCAGGGAACCCCTACAGCCACCCTCAGTACACAACCTACAACGAGGCCTGGCGGTTCAACAACCCTGCATTACTAAGTGAGTAGCTCTTTCCCACAGCACACCCCCAGCCTCGCGCTCCTTCTGTTTGTCTCTTTGTTTTCTTTTCTTTGTTTTGTTTTGTTTCTGAAGAGGGATTTCAACATTTGGCCAGGTGAGAGGCCTTTTTCCTCACTCTCCAGTCCAGTGTCTAGATGGGTATATATCTCATTTGTGTTCTTTATCTGTTTTGAAGCTGATTCCTCTTCTGTGAGACAGTTCAGAATTCCAGTTCAGCTCTGGCTTCTCCATTGGCTGCATCCACACCAGATGAGATCAGAAGTTAAACTCAGGTTCTGCTAGTCTCTCAGGCTGCAATCAGCATCCATTCAAGGTCTGATCAAAAACCCAGATAAGGTTTCACTCCTCTCCCAAGTTAAATCCACAGTCAGTTCCTGGGGATCTGGAAATCCCATAGAAGTTCTTCCCATCAAACCAGTTAGAACAGTGTCCAGAGCGGGAGACAGGCTGCATCATTAGGTTTATAATAGCCAGTAGAGCTTTCTTGCAGGGATATATCCATCTCCAGTGACTCTAATATGCCCAGAAATAGTCAGGTTATTTCAGAGGGGGAAAAACCTCCCATAAGACCGTATCTTCTAACACAACATTTCTTTGCAAAGGAATAGGAAAAGATTTATTACAGGTAAAATAAATCAGCTCTGATTATTACCTACGTATTTACTGAGGTTTAACAACTGGGTAATAGATGCACATTTTGCTCCAGTGTTGTTAAACCTCAGTAACTGTGATCTTAGTAATCAATCACTATTTAACACACATTCAATAACCATCTAGAGAGCTTTCAAGCCAAATGTGACCAAAATCCCAAACAATAAAACATTGTAATTTTGTTTCATTTCTCCCCTTCTGGTTTTAAAAGTGACCCGCTATACTTTGTCGGGTATACTCAGAACATCTGGCCCTGACACTTTCCTCGTGGCCGCAGATCAGGTGTGGCGTATTTGTGCTGCAATACGCACGGGCTTCCCTCTCGGGAACTTATTGATGGTCAGAAGGAGCAAAAGGCGTAGAGATGCTTCAGAGCCAGAGGCCACAGTAGTATCCATCCACTGAAATGTGGCTCTTGGCTGGCTTCCACCGATTGCCTTTCCCTAATCCCATCAAGAGCTGAGTGCCCAGGTTTGTTCTTTTGGTTCCTTTCCTTTTCTTTTCAGTTCTTCTTTGTTTCTTTTCTTTGTTTGATTGTTTTATTTTTTTTTATTTTATTTTTTTTTACTGTTTGTCCTTTCAACCAGTCCATTCTTCTCCTGTGTTAACTTTCAGGTTCCCCTTATTATTATAGTGCCACATCCCGGGGCTCCGCACCTCCCACTGCTGCCGCTGCCTATGACCGCCACTAGTTACCATGGAAACCACATGAAACTGCAGGGCGACAGCTTAGGCCTCCACATTGTACCTGTCTGATCACCTCCCTCCATCCCTGGGAAGGGTGAAGAGACCTTCTCCGTTCCTCCCCACAGTCCAGTTCCTTCCTCTTAACCACGAAGACGCCAGACCAAGCACTCACCACACGAGACTGAGACCCCTCCACCCTTCCCTTGCCTTCCACCTGACCGCTCCCCCTGTGCCGGGAAGAGCCCACGGCCAAGCGGCTCCTCCTGTGGAGCCTTCCACCGGGCCTGGGCACAGCTCAGCCACACAGAGTGCCCTCGGCTTCCAGGACTGGGAAGCAATGCAGCTGGCAACCATTGCCTTACAGGACCCCCTTCTTCTGGGAGCAGTAGGGGCCGGGGGAAGCAGGGCAGAACGTCACTTGTGAAACACTGTTCCCCAAAGATATGCTCTTCCATGGTGGACTCTTCAACATGTGTAACCTGTGATGCTCGCCCTGTTTCCCAGGACAGAGGGAACAGTCTGGCTAGAGCAGAGATGGCAGTACAGAGACCTGGCCCATCTGGCAATGAAGAAAAGGACCAAGTAACTATCTGCACCCCACCAGGGGTTCTCTGTGCACCCCATCCCCTCTCTCCAGCGTGGCTTCCCCCATAGCTGGCGGCACCCCACGCCCGGTGACTTTGCAGGCCAGAGCTGGGAGGAACCTCACACATACACCCACAATTTCTGTGACACACAATCAGCTCAGACAGGAGGATGGAGCAACATTTACAAACCAACCGACGAAATGAAGAAATATATAAATAGATATATAAATATAACTGTGTTTTTATGCTTTGTCATGAAGGTCTGTAAAAAGGAAAAAAAAAAAAGAACAAATCCCCAATTTTCTAAAAAACCCAAGCAAACAAAAACAACAAAAAAACCAAAATAATAATTAAAAAACCCTACAAAAATAAAACTCCAAGTCCCATCCCTCCCCACCACCTGAATAGCAGACAAGTTCCTCTGATGTTTGATGCTCCTCTTTCACTCTAGGGTTTTGTTTCCTTTCTGTTTTGCACTACAATGGGATGGTGGTATTGGAGAGGATTGGATGCCAGCTCCACCCCTGTCGCCTCCTCCTCCTCCCCCTTTCCCAAATCCTGTCTCTGGGGAGCAGTGTGGACAAGTCACATCTGACAAAGTTACCAAACACATCAGTCGACAAAAAAAGCACTCTGAGTCAACAAACGTTTTCCATGTCACTGGTTGGCAAACAAAGAAAACAAGCCCAGCTGCGCTCTAACTGCGCTGTGTGGTGGAAACGAAAGTGTGGGGCTTCACATGGGCCCATCTGATTGCCCTCTGGACAGCTGAGACTGAGATGGACAAATTCAGGATTGGCTGGGATTATTGCTTGGTTCCCTAGCCCTTAGCCGCCGCTCCTTTTACCTTAACCCCTCTACCCGTGATGAATTCAGTTCACCCACATCCCAACTTCCTCAATTTTAGATATGCCCAACACCCCTTCTCCAGATCCCCACAGCCGGTGACAATTATCTGTGCCCAACATCTAATTTCCTAACCACTATAGCTTTGCTATATGGGTCCCTTTTGATTCCCAGTCCATCTGCTCATACACCTACTAATTTATAGGCCTCCATTCAAATCCATATGCCTGCATCCTACCAGCCAGTCCCAACATACAGCCCCATCTTTTCATCTTCAATCCTGTATTGTGCACCCTAATATTTACCCCTTATCCCAAATGCTCACCTGATGATTCTCTAGGGATTCTCTGCTCTTTTTGGTTCCCAAGTGACTGGCAAACACTGTTCTGCAAAAGGCTAACTGTCAATAGAAATGCTTATTACTATCGTCAGCAAACTCATAAACTGCTCCTTGCACTGACACTTCCTAAAAAATACTCAAAGCAAACATGAAGGCAGCTATAGCCTGTCCCCAGGGCATCAAGTCTGCCAAAGTAGATCCTTGTTGTTTTAGAGAGGTTTCAGATAAAACTTGTGGGCTACTGTCCATGGACAAAGATAGGATTGAGAATCAAACCCCTGAAGGGCGTAAAAGTGACCAGTGGAGCAATCTGTACAGCTAACGTTATGTATAAAAACCAAAGTTCCCAGCCTCAGAGGAGATGTGGTTGTGAACTCGGTATTCTGTCTCCAAGTTTAACTTGTATGTATGAAATCCATCATCAGTAAACAGCTGTGTTGATCCCAAAGGCCCCCTTTACCTCACACTTTTAGCCCTTGCATGGCTCTAGCTGATTATAGATCTGTGTCTTCTTTAACGGGGTGCCCAAATGATAAGGTTGTTTGGGGGCATGTTTACATAGAAGATATAGAACTAAAATCTGTTCCTATACAGAATAAAATCAAAGAGGTTACTCCTGATCTATTAAAAGTGTCATTCTGCACGTCTTACCTCTGAGTGACCTGCTGCAAATAGCAGAGTTGTTACGCTGTCATCGAGATCAGAATTTGGCCCGTTATCTCATCTTATTCTACATGAGAAGAAAATTCTGAGTGATTTCTAAAAATTTACTTTCACCGCTCCTTCTGTTTTCCTCCACAGACATCAGATAGATGCTGGACCTGTTAGTAAAGTCTCCCTTTTAGTCTCTCAGTACAGCCTTTGCTCTATTTGTGCACCACCTGGTTTCATTCTGCAGGTGGTTGGAGCAGAGGCAGTAAATCCTAGGACCAGCAAGGAGAACCTCCTGAGAAGGATACAGAAAAGGAGACTGTCATGCCTCACACTTGGCAACCTGCAGTCCAGGGGCCAACTCAAGAGAAGCTAGCAGCTCAGAAATTATTTTTAAAATGGTGTTTTGCTAAACTTGAGACATGAGCTAGGGTATGAAAGTAGAATTCGGTTGGCTTACTCATGGCTGATTTGACCCTCAGAGGGCCAAATCCATTGTTGGTGCAACTCCACTGATAAAAGAGGGTTTCCAGCAGGCACTGGATTGGTCTGGAAAGTTCATAAGTACGGCATGTAGTTTGACCAGGAAAATTAAAAGGAAAGCAGAATTATGCAAAGGACTGGGCAGTCTAATCCTCTTCCACCACCATCTGTAGACCCCATGCGAATGTACTGAATTACATTTGCCAAAGAGTTTCTTGTGTTGGTTGTTTTGATTTACAGTCGGTGGATGCATTGTAAAGCAGTATTATAGCTAAAGTCTAGTAGCTGACACAGGGATTTATGTGGTGATATTACGCAGAAGAAAACCATCAATATTCATATAGATTCCATTAGACTGGACTATGCAGGAAAACGCAAAAATTCTACCAATTATTTAATATTATGTTATTTGCAAAAACAATTGCTGCTTTGTAGGAAGATAATGTGTGTAACGTGAAGGCAATTCCTCTTGTATATAAGTTCATCTCCATCTTCATCATGGTAGTTATTAAACAGCCTCGTCTCATCCTGTAGATAAGGAACACGCTGTCTGTACTGTGCAAGTCTTGTTGTGCTCACTGAAAACAAAATGATGTGTTCAATAAAGCACAGCACAAATCCAGAACCTGAGGGAACAGCCAAACCTTGGAAGGACCCCTTCCCCAACAGGCCAACAGTTGCTTTGTTATAGATGGATTATTTTTTTTTCATTATTCTTTAAAAAGTTTTACAGGAAAAAATGAAAAAGAATTGGAGGAAGAAATCACTATGCAAAATCTAGTGAAGTCTATGGCTCACATCTCTCTTCTCTATTCTGCTGCCTCTTCCCTTTCTCCCCTTTCTTTCTCACACCCTCTTTCCATTTCATTTCTATCCCTCTCTTTTATTATTCTTCATTCCCAATGCACTTCTCTATCCAGAGAGGGAAGAGCATTACTGATATAAGAGCAGGTGCCTGGGACCTCAGACTTCCTAGTTCTCCTCAAGGCTCTAGAGAACCTTTGTCAAGTCCAATTTCCCCCCTATGCCTCAATTCCAATCTTCTGTAAAATGGGGATAATACTAGTTCCCAGTTCACAGGGGGATTGCGCAACTGAATTAATTAGCACCGGCTCAGTGCTTTGAGATCCTGGAAAGAAAATTCTATCAAAAGTGTTAAGTATTATTCTGAATAATAATAAATGTTTCCATTACATTTCTGTCTTTTCTTTTTTTTTCTCACAAATCACTCATTTCTTTATTCTTCTTCCCCAGCTCTCCTTTCACTTCTTTCTTCTCCTATCATTCTTAGCTCTGCTGCTGCATTTGCTTTATCTAATGGACCAAGCAGAAATGTTGTGTGACTGGATCTCCTTCTGTCACTATTTTTTCATGGGGAAGAATCTTGGGAGTTCCCAAATGCTGTGCTTTGCTGGAAGTGGCAAGGATCATGGCATTTAAAACTGGGTAGCACTTTCAAGGTCTGTTCTCTGAAGCTCTCATGTCCTTTTGGCCCAATGGGATGCGGGGCAAGACAGAGGGAAGGTTGTGCAAGGCGGATGCATTAAAGCTGACACCCTCATGACCTGTAAATCTGTTGGGGAGGGTTGGTGGTAATGAGTCCTGCTGTGGAAACAGGGCCAAGTCTGCATGCTTTCTGACACATCCGTAGTGATGACTCAAATTCAGAGTAAGACTTCAGAATTAATCACAACATGAATGTGAGGATGTTAAGCAAACAACAAAAGGAAAACAAAAAACCCTGCACCTCTTTCTCCTCAAATATATAATTATATATGCACATAAACATTTTTCTAACGGAATTTTTCGTTTGCTGAACTTTTGGAAAAACCCCACCCCTTTGTCCCTAAGGAAAAGCATCCCTCTGGGAAAAGAAGTAAGAAACATAGCTGCCCCCTTTGGCACTGACAGAATGAGGGCTTCTGAGGGACCCCACAAATACCACAGTGTGCTCCTTGGCTGGGCCAGGATGGTGGCAAACTTGCAAAGCAGGAAGGAGGGACCAAACAATGAAAATTACAGAACTGACAACAAAACCCACTGTAAGCAGCTCCGCTGATGCTCTCCAGGCTAAGCTAGATACGAGACCATGGAGGGG